GAGTTGTTCTTAGTGTTCACAGCGCATAGCCGAGGTTGTAATGTGAACTTCATCTTAAGTTGGAGCCTGATGTCTCACAAAAGGTCGCCCTGTGTTTTAGATACAATGTCACTAGCAACTAAGTAATAAACCATTACTGTTCATCACGACTGAGCCTGTTTTCTGGCACAAACATCTTTTTCCACATACTGTCATTGCTTGATTTGATTTATTATTGTCACATGCACCCAAGTACAGAGAAAAGTTTTGTTTTGCGTGCAGTACAGGCAGATCATAACATAAAAAGCCACAAAGATCATAGGGTGGGTGAACAGAGCAAGGAATACAAAGTAATGGCTGCAGAGAAGGTGCACAAAAAGTAGGATTAACATTAGTTTTGAAATTTGACAGGTCCATTCAGAAGTCTAATACCAAGAGGATGGACAGTGGCCAGAGAAATGACCCAATGATTCTCAGTTCAACCATCAAAGAGACTTTTTGTTGCTTTATTTATTCACAGGATGTGGGCATTGTTGATTAGGTCAGCATTTATTACCCACCCCGAGTTGTCTAGTTGGCAGTTAGAAGTCAACCATATTGCTGTGGGTCTAGAGACACACATAAGCCCATCTAGGTTGACATGGTGGATCAGTGGTTAGCATTGCTGCCTCAGTGCTGGGGACCTGGGTTCAATTCCAGTCCTGGGTGTTTCGGTTTCCTCCCAAGGTCCAAAGATGTCCATGGGAAATACAGGGGTAGGGTGTGTCTGTGTGGGATGCTCTTCAGAGGGTTGGTGTGAGCTTGATGGGCCAAATGGCCTGCTTCTGCACTGTAGGGGTCCTATTGGGAGCAGGGTGGCAGATATCCTTCCCTAAAGGGTATTAATGATGGATATTTCCTGATAATTGGCAATAATTTCACAGTCATCATTAATTCCAGATATTTCATTCAATTCAAATTCTACCACCTGATTCAAACCCAGGTTCCCCAGAACATTACCTGATTTCTAGAATAACATCACTAGGCTAGTGTCTCTCTTTAAGGACACCCCACAGATGTGAAAAGCTCTGAAATAATTCAGTTGTTTCTCTCTTTCTTTAGCTTTCACCTTGTGCTTGCTCACTTTCGATTTGGTGTGTGAAAGGTCTATTAAGAAAGTGTGGTGGCCTGATTGGAACATTGCTAGGCAACGGGATGAAGGAAGGAAGACTCTGATCTTACAAAGTGTCTCTAATTGATGCTTCAACTCTGGCCCCCAACCCCATGTGTCTTGTTTTTTATTCATTCATGGGATGTGGGCATCGCAGCATTTATTGCCCATCCCTAATTGCCCAGAGAGCAGTTACCAGCCAACCACATTGCTGTGGGTCTGGAGTCACATGTAAGCCAGACCGGGTAAGGATGGAAGTTTCCTCCCCTAAAGGACATTAGTGAACCAGATGGGTTTTTCCTGACACAAAAACAGAAGTTGATCAGCAGGTGTGGCAGCATCCATGAAGAGAAATCAAAGTGCAAGGTGGCTCAGTAGTTAGCATAGCTGCCTCACAGCGCCAGGGACCTGGGTTTGATTCCACCCTCGGGTGACTGACTGTGTGGAGTTTGCACGTTCTCCCTGTGTTTGTGTGCGTTTCTTCCGGGTGCTAAAGTTTCCTCCCACAGTCCAAAGATGTGCAGGTTAGGGTGGATTGGCCGTGGGAAATTACCCCGTAGTGTTCAGGGATGTGTAGATTAGGTGCGTTGCAGGGGATGGGTCTGGGTGGGATGCTCTGAGGGTTGGTGTGAACTTGTTGGGCTGAAGGGCCTGTTTTCACACTGTAGGGATTCTATAAATTAATGTTTCAGGTCCAGTGACCCTTCCTCAGCACTCAGAGCTGCCATGGCAGGATTTGAACCTTGGTCCCCAGGGCATTAGCTGGGTCCTTGGATTAACAGTCCAGCAATAATACCACTAGACAATCACCTCCCCTTGTATTTTGCTGGAAATAAGATTGCACAATGAGAAGGCAGCGAACGGCACTCAGTGAGATGCTTATACAGAAGCTGGCACAGACATGATAGGCCAAATGGACTTGTTCTGCACTGTAACAATTCAGTGATAATTGTTGGTGCAGGTGGACGTCTCTTGTTGGAGAAATGAAGGCATTGAGGGGCCGTCAATCAATGCTAGGCTTACCAGATGATGCTCAAAGAATAATGGGAAAGCAGAAATCACAAGGAGAAGATTCAAAGGATAAATCGTTAATAAACAGTGTTCCTCCAAATATCCTGAGGTTCTCACACTGACAATCAGGCAAGGCCAACCACTTTGACCTTTCAAACTGTGCTCAATTGGATGGTTAGTGCCACGATGTGAGAGATCCCGATCCACTTGGTAAAGAGGCCGGGCATGAAATGGACAGGGACTGAAACGCAAATCCCTTACTCCCAAACCTTGCAATTCAAATGCCAGTCAAGATGGCATGGGTAGGCTGTTGGGCACATGACAGAGGAGATTCAATGTTAAAAAGTGTGAATTTGGGTACATTTGGGTAGGAAGGGTGAGGAGAGGGTTCTGAAGAAGGGTCACCAGAAATGAAACGTAAACTCTGCTCTCTCTCTCCCTCTCTCTCCACAGATGGCTGAGTTTCTCCAGCAATTTCTGTCCTCGTTCCAAAAGAACAGGTACCATTCGAAAGGGAGTGCAGGAGAAGGGAGACTTGAGGGCATATAACATCGAAGGTAATGGGGAAATTTGACAAAGTGGTTGGTGGGGCACAACGTGTATAGAGTAGATCCATTTTACATTGAGGCCTAAAATGCAAAGACAAGATGTTTATGGTAAGCCCTCATAAAACACTGGCTTGGCCTCACCTGGAGTGTTGTATCTAAATCAGGGCAGCACATATGAAGATGAAAATGTGGTATATGTTGGACAAGGGCATTGCGACCCTGAGGCAGCCTTGCAATAATGTTCAGAGCTGCACATCATTGGGTATATATAACACAGAGTGGGTGGATTTAGGACTCGCCAGAAGAAACAGTCTGGAACCCTGCCCTAGAATAGGCAATAACATGGGACATGAAAACATGCGGAAAATAGATTAGTTCTCACCTAATGTAACTATAAATCAGAGCCCTATATATCTACAATGGCAGAGACAGCAGTCAGCATTCACCCAACACTCTCCAGGTTCTCGTCTAACAGGTTTATTTGAAATCACAAGCTTTCAAGGCACTGTTCCTTCGGCAGGTGAACACTGAAGAAAGAGCAGCCTTTCGAAAGCTTGTGATTCCAAACAAACCTGTTAGACTATAACCTGGAGGGTGTTGTGTAACTTCTGACTTTGTCCACCCCAGTCCAACACCGGCACCTCCCCACCAGAGATAGCAATGTTTGGGATTAAGCTACAATAGTGTTAGTTTGAAGTCTAAGACTGAGGAGAGTCTTAGTCTATAAAGAAGCCAAACTCAGACTGGCATGATGAAAGAAGATGGATTAAAAAAACTTGAAATGATTTTAATTTTCGGCTTCATGTCGTGATTATAGTTCTGCTGTTAGTCTGTAAAACACAGTGGGATTGAGTCAGATTGACCACATTTCAGTTTGATCGTCTTTGTGGGAACACAAAGGTTAGGGGAGTGGAAATGAAGAGTAAATAATTCACCCGTATGAGCAAACTGTTAACGGGCAGTTACTTTGAAGTGTTTAGTGTGCTAGTTTCTCACAGATAAAGATATAGGCAATAAAGTGAGCAGTACACCTGAAACTCTAAAGAGATCAGGAAGCATCTCAAAGGCAAAAAAAACACCTACAATAACCCCTCAAGGAAACAAAAACTTGAAACTACTTCAAATGTTATGAGGCTGACATAGCGAGGAGGGGTACCGGGATGTTACAGCAGTGAAAGGAACATGCCTGGGTGACGTTTGTCTTATGGGGACGCAAACGTCTTCATTAGGCAGAATGCTCCCTTCAAAAGACACTCCGTGCTCACTCTCAGAGGCCCAAGCAAGATCTTCTCCCTGCTCAAATGGACAGCAACTGTTAAAATTAAAATGAGGAAAGGAAACCATTTTCAGACAGGAGGTGGTTAGGATCTGAAAAGCAGGACTGAGATTGCGGTGGAGTCTGATTTAATCCTGGAATTCAAAAGCCAATTGAATAATTGTCTAAAGACGCAAAAACAAATTTGCAAACACAGGATGGGAGTGCTGGGACCATAAGGAGGCCATTTGGCTCTTTCAGTCCACCATGGACTCAATCAGATCATAGCAAACCCATTGGGGAGGTGATGGCCTAGTGGTATTATCGCCAGACCTATTAATTCAGAGACCCAGCTAATGTTCAGGGCACCTGGGTTCAAATCCTGCTATGGCCGATGGTGGAGTTTGAATTCAATAAAAAGGAATTATGGATTGAATTAAAAAGGATCCTGGAATTAGGTGTCTAATGGTGATCATGAAACTATTGTTGGGGGGAAAAACCTATTTGGTTCACTAATGTCTTCCAGGGAAGGAAATCTACCATCCTTACCTGATCTGGTGTGCATGTGACTCCAGACCCATAGCAATGTGGTTGACTCTTAACTCCCCTCTGGGCAATTAGGGATGGGCAATAAATTCTGGTCCCAGATCCTCCCACACCCTGAGAGTGAATAAAAAGAAACCTGATAGTCCACTTACCTGCCTTTTCCCTACTTCCCTGTGGCACAAGCTGAATTGCTCTCTCTGCCAGAGAGCTAGCATGGGGAAGACAGACTGAATGACCTCCTCCTGCACTGTAACAAAGTGTTTTTAAGGAGCTGTGCTCTCAAACGTCTTGCTCCAATTTCGCAAGAAGCCCAGAAGAAGAATAAAAAAAATGGATATGATACTGCTGTGTGTGTGTGTGTGCTAAATTCTTGTGGGATTTCTTACTAACAACAATCAGGAAGCACTTTTGCAGCTTTGTGAAGCTCTGATGCCAGGCGAGGCACTACGGAAATGCAACACCTTTCACCCTGCAGTTCATGTTTCATTCTCATGGCTGAATCACCTGCAGAAATTCCATCCTGCAGTTTCTAGGCTCCTTTAGATGTGTCGATAACAGGCTGGGAAAAAAAAACTAGAACATCTAGTTTTAAAGAAATGACGTGATGGGCACATGACAGAGAAACAAATGGTTTTGGACTTATGTGCAAACTGATAAAAGAGCGATTTTCTTTCTGAATGACTGCATTTTAGTGCGTGTTTTATACTGTATATACACAGAGAGAGGCCAATGTTTTTTTCCCAAACGCAGAAGACTCTTTTGCAGCTTGCTCCACTGATCACACTTCCTCAAGTCTGAGTTTCACAGCCATATAAAAGGCCCTGTCTGCTCTCAGTTGCCATTTGCTCTCTCTCTCTCTCTCCTTGGGTTGACCGCCCCGCTACACCGACTGCAGAGATGCAGCGCCAGCTGAGGGAGGAAAGGTGAGAATGGGGCAGAATGCACCCGCTCTATCCCACCGGGAGGCTGCAGGAGTGGGGAGGAGGGTGGGCTGTGGTGGTGGTGGTAGGGAGGTGATTCTGAGCAGGAGGGCTCTACATGCAAGCAGAAACTAACTTCGTTTCTTTTCTCCTCTTGCAGCGATTACGACCAGCTTCCAGATGACGTGCCAGTGTCTGCCCACATTGCTGATGCAGAGCAGAGCAAAGGATTCAGTAGCCACATTGTGAGTCTCCTATCTCCTTGAAGGAAACAACGTTAATAACCTCGCAGGCAGTTCAGGGAAGGTTTACCAGACTCGCGGTGGATTGGTCAGAAAAGTTTTGGGACAGGTTAGGCTTGTATCTGCTGGAGTTTAAAACCAGTAAAAGGCAACGCGATTAAAACATATCAATGTGTAAATTGCCATAGTCCTACTTTGGCAGTAAATAGAGACAACAGCTTGGTGAGTTTAACCTGAGGGTCAGCACACCTCAGCTGAGGGGGTGAGGCAGGTCTAATGTTGACCATCAATCCATTGCCCATTGTCAGGGAAAAAAAAACCCAACTGGTTCATTAAATGTCCTTTGGGGAGGGAAACTCCCTAAAGGCGTACATGTGACTCCAGACCCACAGCAATGAGGTTGACTCATAACTGCCCTCTGGGATGGGCAATAAACGCTGGCCTAGCCAGCAATGCCCTCATCCTGTGAATGAATGAGAAAAAAAATGAGGATTATGGTAAACTCCACCGATATGGGAAGTAAAGGTACATCACTCTGCATTACAAACAAGCTCTCCAGTCAACTGAGCTAGCTGGTATCCAGATTGAAACAGCAAAGGGCCTGAAGCGGGGGTGTTGGGGGTGGGTGGGTCTAGCAGTTTAGATGTGGAGAGGCTGTTTCCTCAGGTGAGAGAATCTAGAATGAGGGGGCACAACGTTAAATGTAAAGAGTCACCCGTTTAAGTCAGAGGTGAGGTGACCTTTCCTTTTCTCTTTCGGTCACGAGTTTTCAGAACTCTTTCCAAAAGTGGTGGCGGTTGCATGATTTCCTAAGGCAGGAGTAGATGGAATAGGCGGGGAAAGCGGATTTATGCAGATCAGCCGTGATGTTCTTAAATGGCAGAATGGGATTGAAGGGCCGAATGGCCAAGTCACGCCCTTATCTTTGTATCTTCAGTTGTGTGCCAAGGGGGCCACATGTGCTCATGGATGGTGCACAGCAAGATCCCAGCCAAGCCCTGCATTGAGCTGAATGGCTGGTAGGTCTCTCTCAGCAAGGGAGGGGCATTGTTGGGCACAGGGGACATGGTAGAACTTCACCGCTTATCTCTCACCTTCTTGCCGACACGGTTTAGTGTAAAATGTGCGTGGAAAGGGTCTCTGGCAGGGGAGAGAAACAGAGTGAATGCTTTTTGTGTCAAAATTTGAATCGCCTTGAAGATGCAAAATGTTGACTATCACTGGTGAGGCCTGGTATTTGTCGCCCACCTCTAATTTGAACTGAGATAGTAGGAACTGCAGATGCTGGA